AGGGTTAAAATTATCCCCAGGACAGCTGTCTTCGCTTTTAGTTGAATTTTCCTGTAGGATCTCCAGCTAACCAAGGATATAAAGTCCCAGATAACCGTAAATTATGATTTCTCTGCTACTCTCCCCAGCCTAAATCCAGTTTTGGTTTGCTCACTTTCTCCAAGGATATTTCTCTCCAGCCAAGGATATAAAGTCCCAGATAATCATAAATGATGATTTCTCTCCCCTGCCTAAATCCACTTTTGGTTTATTCACTTTCTCCAAGGATATAAAGTCCCAGATAATTGTAAATTATGATTTCTCTGCCATTCTCCCCAGCCTAAATCCAGTTTTGGTTTGCTCACTTTCTCCAATGATATTTCTCTCAAGCCAAGGATATAAAGTCCTAGATAATCATAAATTATGATTTCTCTCCCCTTCCTAAATACAGTTTTGGTTAACTCACTTTCTCCAAGGATATAAAGTCCCAGATAATTGTAAATTATGATTTCTCTACCCTGCCTAAATACAGTTTTGGTTTACTCACTTTCTCCAAGGATATAAAGTCCCACATAATTGTAAATTATGATTTCTCTGCCATTCTCCCCTGCCTAAATCCTTTTGGTTTACTCACTTTCTCCAAGGATATTTCTCTTAAGCCAAGGGTATAAAGTCCCAGGTAATCATAAATGATGATTTCTCTCCCCTGCCTAAATCCACTTTTAGTTTACACACTTTCTCCAAGGATATTTCTCTCAAGCCAAGGATATAAAGTCCTAGATAATCATAAATTATGAATTCTCTCCCCTTCCTAAATACAGTTTTGGTTTACTCACTTTCTCCAATGATATTTCTCTCAAGCCAAGGATATAAAGTCCCATGTAATTGTAAATTATGATTTCTCTGTTACTCTCCCCAGCCTGAATTCAGTTTTGGTTTACTCACTTTCTCCAAGGATATAAAGTCCATGATAATTGTAAATTATGATTTCTCTCCCCTGCCTAAATCCCCTTTTGGTTTATTCACTTTCTCCAAGGATATCTCTCTCAAACCAAGGATATAAAGTCCTAGATAATCATAAATTATGATTTCTCTTCCCTACCTAAAACCAGTTTTGGTTTACTCACTTTCTCTTTGATTGTTTCATAGTCAGGTCCAAGGCCTCCAAGCTTCATACTCTGATTCAAGTAGAATTTGGAGCTGCCCAGCTGAAAACCAAACAGCAAACAGATTTTCCTTGACATGATTTCACAGAGGGAATAATTCAAGGAAGTTTTATAGTGGGAACCTCAGGATTTCATTTGCAATCTCAGCCCCACCCCTGGCACGTCTCATTTTAAATAAGTGACCAACAGGACTGAGTTATGGCAAAAGTCAAATGACAACAGAATTTCCTTTGGATCTAAGTGGGAAATTGCCAATTTTCCCAATCACAAAGTGATATTTTCTCAATCAAAAATGAGCTTTATTTTGGAACAGCTTGAAGCCACTCATTTGACTGTGGTTAGAATGAGACTCCAAAGAAATTTTTTGTGAGAGAAGCAGACAAAATTACTGACTTTGGTGGCAAAAATTAGACAAATGATGGTAGTGAGAAAAACCTTTCCTTTTTCTGAAAGCTGCCCATGGACAGCTGAAAAATCCATTTTTGATGCACAGCAAAGGCTTTACAAGTGCAGGAGTGGCTGATGCCATCCAGTATTTTGGACATCACACAAAGACTCCAATGCCTCCGTAATATTTTTATTCTCTTTCAAGGTCACATTTTTAGAAGGGAATTACGTGTAAACACTTTTCAGTGAAAGTTTATTATGATCAGCTCTGTGGTAATTTTAATGACAGAGTGAGGCAGGAACACCAATTTCTATATGCAAATAAAATGGGCATTTCTTCAGAACACAAGTTCAAGCTAAACTCAGCTGCAGAGAAATTAATTTTATGCACTAAATTTCCTATTTAAGGTTTCTTTGTGTCAGCTATCCCTGCTCTTACCTGCTATAACTCACTAATTTATAATTTGAGGTGCAGTGAGGATTTAATTTTGCTGTGTCCCACAAAATCAGGGTTCCCCTCTTGCTGCAATGAGTGCATTTGTTTATGAGGAAAATCTGGATTTTGCTGGGAGCAGAAGCTGCCTGATCCTCTGTGCATTCCCCACATGTGGAGCGTGAGAAAACTGCGGCAAGCAGGGGACAAGAACAAAGGGCAGAGAAGGAGCTCTGCCCTCAGCTCCCACCATAATCCTGATTCTTCCTAATTCTTCTTAGGGGCACTCAGGCAGCAACACCCAGAGCGCGTGAAATCACAATTCCAGCTCGGTTTGTCTGCCCTGAGAGATTTCTTATTATAAATTATAAATTTATAATATAATATAATATAATATAATAAATTATAAATGCAGAAACTCCTCAAACATTTAATTTGCCATGGGCAGCCTCATGGTGACACCAGGACGAGTGGGCTGGCAGAGGAGACAGAAATTCAGATTTTAATGAGGAGCATCACAGATGAGGTTTGGCTTTGCAAATCCTGCAGATTTGGGTTGGAATCGCTTGGAAAGCAGGAGATCTGAGCTGGACAAGAAAAGAGCATGAGCAGGAGAATGGAAGGCTCAAAAGCAGAAATAAATTATTGCTCACAAACAGCCCGACCCCGTTCAGTGAAAATCATTTTATCTGTGATAAATGACAGGACAAACACTGCCCTGTGTGTCCCTGCACGCAAACACACTGATCCCTTTGATCTAAAATTATTTCAGTGACCCAAATGAAATAAAATAATTTCAGTGAAGCAAAAGAACTAAAATTTCAGTGAATTCTCTGATCCAGGTGGATCCCTTTGCTCTAAAATGATTTCAGTGAAAAAAATGAACTAAAATGATTTCAGTGAACCAAATGAACTAAAATTATTTCAGTGAAAAAAATGAACTAAAATTTCACTGAATTCTCTGATCCAGGTTGATCCCTTGGCTCTAAAATGATTTCAGTGAAAAAAAATGAACTAAAATAATTTCAGTGAACCAAATGAAATAAAATTATTTCAGTGAGCCAAAAGAACTAAAATTTCAGTGAATTCTCTGATCCAGGTGGATCCCTTTGCTCTAAAATGATTTCAGTGAAAAAAATGAACTAAAATTATTTCAGTGAGCCAAATGAAATAAAATTATTTCAGTGAAAAAAATGAACTAAAATTTCACTGAATTCTCTGATCCAGGTGGATCCATTTGCTCTGAAATGATTTCAGTGAACCAATTGAACTAAAATGATTTCAGTGAAAAAAATGAACTAAAATGATTTCAGTGAAAAAAATGAACTAAAATTTCAGTGAACCAAATGAAATAAAATTATTTCAGTGAAAAAAATGAACTAAAATTTCAGTGAATTCTCTGATCCAGGTGGATCCCTTTGCTCTAAAGTGATTTCACTGAACCAAAAGAACTAAAATTTCAGTGAACTCTCAAATCCCTTTTCTCTAAAATGTTTTCAGTGTCTCTTTCTCCCTTTGTTCCATGATTTTTAATGCTCTGCTGTTCATTTTACAACATTTCTCAGTCTCTATTTGTATTTTTTTTTTAAACTTTGGATTATTAAGAAGAAATATGAGAGTGGAAATAGAAAAGTTAAACCACCGAATCCACATTTATTTCCTCACCTTTTTGCTGATTTTGGGTTGGTTTTGCTTTTCCCTTTGTAGGAGAGACCCTTCTGAGCTGCTCCTTCTCATTTTCCTTGGGTTCCCTTCAGCTTTTGCCGAGTCCCCCCGGGGCAGGGCGGGCGGGAACAAACCCCAAAACCACGAGCCAGCAAAAGCATCTTCCAAATCAGAAAATCCTGGCTTTTCCTGCTTTTCTATGAAATGGGAGATTCTGCAGGCAGATGTTGGCGAGCTGCGAGCAAAATATAATAAAAAGGCCGTAAAAAATGAGGGGGAAAGAGCAAAAATCTGAATTTACACACAGTAAACAATCTGAACGTGGAGTGAGGGAGCAGGGAGATGGGAGGGTGAGGATTTCACAATAAATGATTTTGCTTGCACACAAGTGTGTGGAAATAAATGGAAAAAAAAACCCCAAAAATAGGGAAATTTCAGCCTGGTGCAAAGGTGATTAAAGCAAATCAAAAGCTTTGGATCAGGCCTGCTGAGTACTGANGGGGATACAAAGGGAGTCAGGCTGGAAAGGCAGAAATTCTCATTAAATCAAAGGTCCAATATTCATTACCTCCAGCATCTGGGGCTAAACACTGAACATGGAGCTCATCAAAGGGGGTTTAATGGGTTAAATTGAGAATATAATCTAATTAAAATATTAGATACGAGTAAATAGCTCTTTGATATTCATCTGAAGGTTTCATTAAAACAGGCACTTGAGGTTTGGATTAAGGGGGGATTATCACTTTTAAGCAGGAACAACAAGTTGAGGTGCCCTGAGCAGAAATGCTTCAAAGTGTTACAGTTTGGATTAAAAATTAAAAAAAAAGTAGGAAAGAAGAGCATGGAAACATTTCCCAGGCTGGCAGTGCCCAAAGGAGAGGGGAAAGAGGCTGAGGAAGAGGAAGGTTCTGTCCAGAAGATGGAATTGGATGCTCCAAGTGACAAAAATATCATGGAAAACATTTCCCTGCAGCCTGACCTGGGGTCACATATTGGACAATGCTCCTTCCACCAAGGCTTCCCAAAATGTTCTTAATATTTCTCAATATTCCCAAAAAATGTTCTGAACTTCCAGCTGTGAGTCCAAGGGGCTGATTCAACAAATTCCTGC